GTCCCAGATATGTATTGTGATGGATCAACTATTTACTGTGGCCATCCAACTGCCATAATATGAACAATAGGTATTTTTCATCCCTTATCTTTCACGTATGAATTTTTTTCCTTTTTTTGCTGAGGCAATAGGGGTTAAGTGACTTGCGCAGGGTCACACAGCTAATAAGTGTTGTGTCTGAGGCTCGATTTGAACTCAGGTCCTCCTGACTCCAAGGCCAGAGTTCTATTCACTGCACCACTAGCTGCCCCTCATGCATGGATTTTCCAGCAGATCTCCTTTGAGTATTCATGAATCTCTTTGAAGAAACCCTGTAATTTTCTGCTGCATAATACAATCAGTACAATATAAATCACAAACATCAGAACTGGGAGGGCCTTACCTTTAAGGAATTCCTCTTTTATTTGGACTCTACATTTGTTATATTTGATGAGCATACAGCTCCTTGTTTTATGCTTTGTTTTAAATTAGTAATCAGAAAATTGTTATCTGTTGTTCCATTTATCAAGGAGTATAATCTTAGCATATGTGAGGTTAGAAGAGAACTTTTAAGGTTACATAGTGTGCATTCCTGTGTATATCTTACTTGTACGTATATAGTTGCTCTCATATTGTCTCCCTCGTTAGAATGCGTGTTCCATGAGGGAAGGGACTGTTTTTGCCTTTCTTTGTATCCCCACTGGTGAGCACAGTGCCTGGCATATAGTAGGTGTTTGTTAACTGAGTGACAGACAGACTGTGTCTAATCAACAAATAATAAACACAAGGGGTATCTTGTATTCGCTGCATCTTTCAGTCATTTGTGTAATTGTAAAGATGTCGTTTATAGAGAATCACTTGCAAATGGCTTCCCTTCTTATATTTTTATCAAAAACACCTTTGAGAACATTCTCATGAAGAGATTCTAAAAATAAGAGAAATAGGCATAAGGGTTGGTAGTTATAGGTGCCTTGTTGGGGTTACATCATACTTTTTTTTCATTCTTTTGATGTTTTTCCTTCCCAGAAATATCATGCAAAATGATCCCAAATGCTTTAAGATTGTGTTTTCCACAGCATGGGTTACCTTTGTGGTAGCTGATCTGGTCAAGTCTTTCTTCTTGATCTTGTTTTTTAAGTCCTAATTTGATTTTTTTGTATAATTCATCAGGGGTTAGGATGTTAGGGTCCAAATGTTGTACTTCCTCAGACTGTATCTTGTGAAAAGACACATAGAATCACAAAATTTCAGAGCTAAAAGGGAATTCAATAGCCATCTGATTCAACCCATACCTCCAAATTCCCAGTTCAGCATCTGAGAAGTGGTTATTTGCTTCTGTCGTTGAGGATGAAAAAAAGTTATAAAAATATTGACAATTTTTTTCTTATTTTCTGATTATCTTCCTGCCAGTTTAATCTATTAATGCTTTTTTGGGAAGACACAAAAGATTATTGAATTATAAACAAAACTGGAAGGGACTTTAAAGACTATCAAATTCAACTCCCTCCCTCTTTCTTCCTTCCCCTTCCCCTCCCCCATTTTACAGGTGAGGAAATGGGCTGATATAGATTACATGGTTTATCCAGGATAACACAGCTAGTAAATATTTGAGGCAGGATTGGAATTCAGGTTTTCTTGTCTCTAAACCTCCTTTACCATGCCACCTAGCTTATTTGAAAGCAAGCCCTGGCCAGGGATTGAACTCTTAGGCCTTATACAGGCAAAGCAGTGATCTCCTACTGAACTGTCCTCCATGTCCTAGTTTAGCTTTGTGTCTTGTCAAGCTTTCTAAAGATTTGTTTTACATTCTACTGCCTTGAATTGTTTTATGGGAGTATTACTACTTATAATCTTCTGCCATCCTCCACTGTAGTGTCTTACAAATATTTGTATTCTAATAAGTAAATATCAATATATAATATCAATAAATATCCAATAGTGGATTAAATTACTGTTATATCTGTTGATGACATAAGGATAATATGAATTGAGATTCAGTGCTCTGTGATTTACTCAGCCCTTCATATATGCTTGGAATCCCATTATGAAGGGATATTGAGAGATAGGCTAGTATCAACTTTATAATCTGCCAGATCAACTTTTTGCTGTATAGAGTGGAGATGTGGTTTACATAAATTGGCTCCTAGGAATTCTGAATCTATAATAATGAGCAACATTATATTGTGTGCCTCAACAGAAATCCAGCCCACTTTCGAAGTAGAGCAATATTGGATAAGTAAATCTGCAATAAGAATCCTTAATTATGTTTGACACTTGAACTCATGTAATTTTGTTTAAAAATAAAGAGGGCCTAATATAACAAAAAGATATTTTAAAAGCTAATTATTTAGTCTTCACACAGGATTGAATAGGGACATGTAAATTTTATGTCATATTACTAAATTATAGATGTAATTATGGTATCTAAGGTCACTTCGAACTCTAAATCAATGTTTATAATCCTAAAATATGGCTATAGACACAAATTTTTTGTTTGTTTGTTTAGACCTGTGAATTCACCAGTACAGAGACTTCACAATGAGAAAACACCTTCTTTCTATCAATAACTGTGTTGTAACTTATAGTTTTAGAGAGTTGTCTGGGGCATGCAAGTACATAAGTGACTTGCTCAGGGTCACATAGCCAGTTATGTCAGAGGAGGGCCTTAGACTCAGGTTGTCCTAACTGAAGCTGACCCTCCATTCACTTTGTCATATTCTGAAAACATAAGCATATTGCACTATACAGCCCAGTGAGAACCTTGGTACCTGGAACCAGTGCTTTGAGACTATATTTAAAAATATGGCATTCTCTTCCACGATAATAGAAACTTCTTCCACGTTATTTCTTTCCACCTCCACTAAAAGTAATTACTATGGTTCCACTCAACTTTAATCCTGAAGTGAATAATGCTGCATTTAAAAGAAGGAAGCTTAGCTAATTCTTTTAACTCAGTTACTAAAACTTTCAATGTCAACATTTTGATTAAAAAATACTTTTAGGTTCTCCTGGTTTGTTTTTCAAATAAGTGCTAACATTTTATAAGAAAGAAATCAGACTGTGAAGTAGCATCTATTATGTTGATGTGCTACTGACATTTTAAAGAAAATGGCTTTTCTCCATTAGATGCATCATAAATATTAATGTTTTCCTATGAAGTGGTACATGGGAAAGACACAATAGGATAAGATTTTCTCAGATTTCCATTATTCTATAAGAACAATATGTTAGGAGTATTTCATTTATAAATGAATGCATTTCTATACTTCTGCTCAGCCTATCTTTTGGTTTGACATTCATTCAACTTTATTCTTTGATGTTTTGGAGTTATTGTAAGGGATTTGTGAATGCACTGTTAAGTAATGGCATATTTGATGAAATCGTATCTTTAGAACTATGACATTACGTATGTGAACTAATTGAAGAACATCACATCCTCTAGCCATTTTTAAATTTTGGATTCACTCATATTTCAAATTTGCCTCATACTACACACCACCAGAACATTCACACAGTAATTCTGGTTAGGTCAACTATACATACACACATACACATGTGTATACATATATAAACAGTATATACACACATGTATATATCTACACAATACACACATAGATATTTTTATATATATCTACACACATGTATTTCTGTTACGAAAAACAGTACATTTGACTTTTTTTGCTGAATATGCAGAACTTTTAATTAAACTGGCTGAACTGGCTACTTCTCTGTCATATAAAAACAGTCAAAACAAGTCTCAGTAGGAACATGTTGTCAGTGTGGGATATTGGAATGATTACTGGATTTGGAGCCTAGAGGATCTAGATTCCAATGTGTGGCCTTGGGAAAGTCACTTTATCTTTTTGGGTCTGTTTCCTCCTCTATAAAATGAGAGAGTTAGTCAGGGGTGGGGAACTTGCAGCCTTGAGACCACCTGTGGCCCTATAGGTTTTCAAGTGCAGTCTTTTGACTGAATCCAAATTTGTTCTGTGAAGTTTAGATTCAGTCAAAGGGCAGCACTTGAGGACTTAGAGGGCCACAGGTGGACTTGAGGCCACAGGTTCCCCACCCCAGGTATATCATCTCTAAGATTCTACAGGATAGTGCTATAAATTGGATCCTACTAAATTGAATGAGTTGAGGAATATTCAGTAATTATATGTAACTGCTTTGTATCTACTTAGTACTTAAAAGCTTGCAAAATTTTTATTAGCACAGCACTATATTCAGGATTTCAAAGTTCAATTTAATTTTCCTATAATTCTAGAATATAGTCTGCAATTTCTCCAGAACTTTAATGGTAACAAAATGATTCTGCTTAACTCTATCCAAAATTCCAACCAAGACTATAGATCTCTCTATCGATGACACAGTATCCATCAACATAAGGCCCTTTATTATAGATCTTGGGTGCTTTTCTATCCCCATTTTAAATAGTTCTGTTTTTTTTCTCTTTCTAGGCAATGGGGTTAAGTGAGTTGCACAGGGTCACACAGCTAGTAAATGTCAAGTGTCTGAAGTCAAATTTGAACTCAGGTCCTCCTGACTCCTGGGCCAGTTTTCTATCCATTGTGCCACCTAGCTGCCCCTATAGCTTACTTCTGAATTTATTTTAATGAGAGGGAAAAAAAGAGAAACACAGCCTTTGGCATTCTCTTTCCTCCATGAGGTCTTCTTTGCCACCTCCAGGCCACACTGATCTGTTTCTTTCCTTCCTGTCCTCACCCAGCACTTCATGTTTGTAACAAGATTTTGCATTTGATTGTATATGATCTCATATTGTTCTTCAATTGTTTCACATATACAAATTTTATCTCCTTACATGTCAGGGTAGAATGTAAGCCCCTTGATGGTAAGAATCTAATCTATTTTTTTTTGGTAACCTTCATCATACCTAGTACCAGTTAGGCATGTACCAGGTGTTTGTAAAGACTTATTCAATTAAATTAAGCCATATGAATTTGCTCTATTCTGGGGTGCTATAACCCAAGTGGTGTGAGTGAAGAAGCTGAAAAACATACCACGAGCAGCTACAACAACAGCACCAACAGAAGCAACAGGCATTAGATGCTCTATTCCCCACTTCGTGCTGGCCTGGAGTACAGTCTGTTGTCTCCTGGGGCACTGCCATCTGCCGTTTACGCATCTCCATCCGCTCTGATCCCATGGGCTACGAAAGTGATAATGAAAGTGGGAAGTTTAAAATAGAACAGTACTAGGAATGTACCTGTTTTGCTCATTGCATAGATGAAGTCCTTTGCTTGGGAGACAAAAGCTTGAGAGAGCCTAAGCAAATCTGAAATGACTTATTGCTGACAAGTGAACCACTTAGGTGATCTTGGAGTGGAAGAGAATAGATTGGCTGGCTTTTCACTTTCCCAGAATTGTAGGCTACTCGGAACCCCAAAGTGAGGAGAGAAGAACAGTAATAAGTGTCTATAAGGGTAGCTGTTAGGGGTTGTAACGCCAACTCTTTCCATACCAGCAGGTATAGAAGCTGAGGAAATCTCAGTGACCTAAACGAGTATTCTATAGCTGTCTTCGTGTCAGAGGAAATCACAACCTATGTCCCAAATGTAAACTGGACTTTGTTGAGTCATAATGATCTGGAAGGGGACTTAGAAGTCATAAAATCTAAATCCCTAATTATTATAATAAGTAAACTGAGACCCAATAATTAAATGACTTCCTTAAGGTCACATGGCTCTTTAGCTGCAGTGCCAAGTCTAGAATCCAAGGCTTCTGACCCCAGACTAGCACTCTTATCACCACAAGAATCCTGGTGCTGTGGAGAAAGTGAAAGAAGCTCAGTGAACTAAAATAAACTCTAAACTCGTCATATTGAATATAAACTTGGGATTGCCAAATAGATAAACAAATAGAAATTAGTTAATAATGGTGGGAGAGGTATCAAGCCTGGAAATCAAGCCTGAAGGGAACTCCTGGCACATAAATTCCTTGTACTAATGCAGATTGACAAACCATCTGTAACTTACAGTTCTAGAGATTTGCCTGAGGTGCTGAGTGACTTGCTTCTGATCACACAGATAATGTGTGTCAGAGGTGGGGCAGGAACCCAGGAGTTCCTGATTCTTGGGCCTGCTGCTATCATCTATATCATACTGTTTTGCAATGTTTCCATTTATCTAGATGCAATTAGCTTAAAGAATGGTTCATATTTATAACACTTTAACATAAATGATCATCAGTCTAGGGAAATACTACCTGTTTAAATCACCACCATTCCTCACAGAATACCTCCCTTCTTTCCCAATACACAATCTCCCCAGAAAGGTGATTATAAATTTACAGAACACTAAAGTTACCAACAATCTGTTAATGGCCAAATATGATGGCCTTTTTGCATTCTGCATCTAACTTATCTGTTGCATTTGACACTTTTAACAACTTCTCTCTCTCTCTCT